CGTAAAATCATCTTCATCCTGGACTGAAAGTCAATACCCCTAGTTTTGGAGATTCAGGAAACTGAAATGGTCCTCATTCTGGCGGTAGCAGTAACAATGGAACCATGTGCTGATGTGCTCAACCATTGATTTAACAAGCTCAATGAAAGCATCGAAATGAGCACATCGCTCTCCACAGTATTGGAGAAGACTGCGAATGAGAAGGCAAAACGGGACGCTGCGATCGGCATTAAGTTTAATTCAATGCCATTAAGCTTAATTCAACGTTATACGTCTCAACTAACAATTCATTTTTGAATCAACTGCATACGAGCCACATTAATTTTTTTCTCAAGCTTTCAACGTCATAAATGTAAACAAGAACAATCACCTGTAATCACTACTAACAAAGAGAATGTTCTCAGGTTTAAGATCGGTATGCGTCAGTCGATGATCGTGCATGAATTTGACTGAATAACACAATTGATATGCAATGAAACGTGCTTGGTCCATCGGATACGCTTGATAATCGTTTGCTTTCTGAATAAATACATCGAGTAAACGCTTGAAAAGAGACTATCGATTCACTGTAAATGAGCTGAACAATCAAATATGAACAGCGAATGTGGACAGTGAATGCAGAAGCTCCATGAACCTATTCTTAAAATTGATTTCATGATAAACCATCAGTTTACACTGCACTACTTTCTGCAGATGATAAGATCGCATCTTCGTTAACATTCACAAACTTCGTTAACACTAACAAACATTAACAAATACCTCTCCAATGAACGACGGATTCAATGCTGAGATCTTCAAACAGATTGTAACACAAAAGAAAAGCTGTTCAAACGAAACGGAAATTGGTTCAAGACTATAAACAACAAGATAAACAAAACAAACCATAAAATCAAACACACTCAAACCAAGCAGTTCAAATACGAGACACATGTGGCCATGATAGTCGAAATTGTCGAGAAGTTGGATTATCAAGCTGCAAAAGAATACACTCAGCTAATTGTAAAGAAACCAAAAAGGATGAGAGAAACATTGAGATCCGTGATCCATTTAAACACCATTCATTCACAGGATGAATACTTAGAGAAAGAGAAATTTAGTGTAACATCCGTCAGTGGATGCACTGGCTCCTTAACATGCCAGCAACAAAAGCTATGCATAAAGATCAGTTTTCGAGAACGCATAGCAACGAAAAACAATTTTTTCAATAATTTCAACAGATACGAATTGAGCACTGAATTTGAGACAGAAAAAATTCAGCTGCAATTCAATAGTGGTTTTGAAAAGCTACAATTTGGTGTAAGAGGACCACATCAACAGATGCACTTGAAAGTAACTCACAAAGCACCACGAGGATCTTTTTCTTGTAATTTCTTCAGGACATTGATTTCGAGTCGAGCTGCCTCTCTATATTTACTAACATTTTTGATAATCTTCAATGCATATTCTTTGGTACCTTCCTCGTTATCCTTCACCTGTACGACTTTACCAAAGGTACCTTCACCCAACGTTCGAACGATTTCATCTTTAAATTCGAGTGCTTTTGTGTGCAATACGATCAATCATATTTGATCATAAACCACAACAAGGCAAACTAATGCTACACTCAATATCATATACAGCACGCAGCTCAATTTGCACTAGTCATGTCTTCCAATTTCGGGGCAATATTCCACATGTGAATTGTGAATGAAGTTTGGTAAATGAGCAAACGACTGCAACGTTGTGTGATTGCAAAGGCTCATAAGTGCATTCCATAGATATGAATAACAAAATGATTGGTGGCAGTAAGAGACTTACAGCGACCATGAATGACATCACCGTCTTTGTAAATCAAGTGCCCATCACGATCATCTTGAATCGCTATTCGGGGTATTGAAGCAGTCACTGAGCTCGATGGTGTTGCTGCGGCTGTCACTGTGTTATTGATCGCTCGTGATTTCGATGACGATCCTGGTTGGCGATTCGCTACACGATCACTCTGAAATTTCATTCATCAGTTCATGTCATTTTACGATTAGAAATTTCGGCATTTGATTCTCAGATTACGGCTACGAAAATGAGATTCATTAAATTCAGTCGTACAGTGAAATGTGATCAAAAACTCACAATTGGAAACGAGAATTATATATGAATTAATTGGAATGTTATTGTGATGAAGACAGATGAAACTAAGACGATCATGACCACAAAAACACGATAGCGCTCGCACATGACAAGGCGAATGGTGCACGCCATGGTCACAAAGAATGATATGGTTAATACTCAACAGAGCGCTACAACATCACTTGGTTAGCACTAACAGCCACAGTGACTGAATACGGATAATGCGGGCAAAAATTATTTCGAAAAAAAAACAACCTTTTAACGTTTCAACTTGTTAGATCAAAAATATAAGCACAACTGTCAATGAAATAAAAAAACCAAAAAAAGTCGATTGCTCAATAAATAAGGCAGCTAAAAACACCCATTCATCTTCATCAACAAAATATTTTTGCATTGGTGAACAAATCAAATGAGCACTATTGAAGCAGAGAGAAATCATCGCCGACAACGAAGTAATAGCACGATCACACCAACAAACCATTTAAAACTACTCTCTGACATGCACGTAAAGAATTCTATGAGATCAGGCAATTAACTCATTGAGTTTCAAGTTCCTCTTGCTGTTAGTTATACTTACAGCACACTTTACTAATTTTAGGCACTGGATTTCAGTTCGTGTTTGTGCATCGTGGATAACATAAATTTTTGCAAATGTAAACAAAGAATAAAACGATGTGATATGCGTACAAAATTGTTTTCAAATAATATAGAAGATACGAACCGGTTGATGTGCATTGGAACGACGTTCATTCTGTCGACGCTGTTCAGCACTCGCAATGATTCGATCAACTTTGGCACTAACGGAAGGCGGTAGTTGAAGAGTGGCTAAGAGATTAGCTTGTGACAACTGTGGTGGTTTATTAACTCGACGAGATGAATTTGGTGGCGCAATGGCGGTGGTGTTATGCTGATGTGCCTGAGACGCCACTAGAAGTGGTTGTTCACGTCTTATCTTCTCATCCTTCTCCTGTGCAGCTTTTGAACGCTTCTCAGTTTGATCATGGCCAGCTGATTCCTTCAATGAATCGACACCAGCTGCTGATAGTGGTTGTGCGGTTGTGACTAGTTCACGATTCGTGTCGTTAGATGAAAATGCAGCCGCGACGGCCGTAACCGTCTTCTTGGCCTTTTGTTCCGCTGAACGTTCCGCCTCCTTATCAGCATATTCTTTCGAGAATGCAGCAAGATTAGCATAGTCACCGAATTCTTTTCGGCTAAGTTCATCTTTACGTGCACGATTCGAAACCTTTCTTCGAATCAACGAACTACCACCATCTTCATTCAGATTCGACAGGGAAATTTTTGGTTTGGTCGTTGTTAAATTTCGACCTTTTGTTGCGCTCTTTGAGGCAGCAGCAGAAGCATTTGCACTGAGCGATGAAGCACTCGTGTCTGATAATTCCTCAAAATTCCGAGAGTTTACCAACGATGGGATTGGTACAACATTAGGAAGTGCTGATGAAATAGCGAGTTCTGACTGTGAATCTGTCTTTGGATTGACATCAACGTATCGTGAATTCGCACCCCACTTCTTCTTCACTACTGCTCCAGATGCATCGGGTATGACATTAATAGCAGGGGTTTTAATGACCTCGTGTGATAATTTGATGCTTGGTTTAGAAGTGATACCTTTACGAAGTAGTTCAACCTTTTCCACCTGAGGCTCCTTAATTAATTCAGCAGTCACCTCTGGCTGCTGCTCCTTTTCGATAGAGAACGCTTGGCTTAAGCCAATCCAATGATTGTAACTTTTGTACAATACCGGATCAGAGACACATCGCCGCAAACTAGCCAGCAGTTGAGTGTTTCGTCTTCTCGATACATAGTTCTTATATTTACGTTTGCGAGGAATAACTACAATTGGCATACGCCGTAATGAACCAAAACCTTTACGTGGCATTTCAGCTTGATTAGTACCGTTGAGATAATTGTTTTTTGAATGATGATAATGGTTATGCAAAGTAGGTGAATGATGGTTTGTAGATGAAGATGAATGGGACGACGGTGAAGGAAAAACCGATGAATTCAGAGAGGACTTGTGATGAATCGGTGCTGGTGCTAATACAGCGTGTTGTGGCAAACGATATGAATAATAATGTCGAGTGACTGGTGAATGGAGAATCGGTAAAATTGAAGATACGCTTAGATTAGAAGATGATGAATTTGAAGATATCTGAGGAGTGGATTGATTACAAGTGCTCGATGAGGACTGAGAAAAGAAAGGATCTTGATAAAGGATCTGAGACAGCGTCTCTGAATATGGTGGCTGCGATGACAGTGTCCACTTGGAGTGGACCTGTAACGGATGGAAAGAGGAAATATTGGCCACCTTTGGGATGGAGATTCGAGATGAGAATACCACTGAATATTAGTGGCTCTGTTTCGATTTGATTTAACACAGTTATTAGATAAAGGAGAAGAACAAGAATAAGCAGCGACAGTAGCAGCAATAATAACAATCAGGCCAAGGAGTAGCCTATGGAGAAGGTAGAGAGGTGCCAGAAAGTTGAGAGAAAGAGGTAGGAATCAAATGATAGGATCGAGGTAACCGGGAGTAATCGTATGGACATGACAGCCGCGCCTGGCTGGTTGTTGCCTGTTGTTGTGTGCATCTCTGTTTGATAGAGATACAGGCAGAGAACTAGAGAGATAGATGTTCTGGCATTTATTATACGAATTGTGATTGTAGACGAGTACTATCGGTTGCAAGCCTTAGGCTAGCACTGACTGTTCTACTGATCTCAGCTCAGCTCACATATGCCAACTTGAGTCTGCTGCTACTAGCCCACTAACGCCCACAACAACGCTAAAACAATGGCACCTTCACTATATGACTAGCTCAAGTTCCAGTTATAATAACAGCCGTAAGGCAATATGGTTGCAGCATTACCACTAATATTCACTCTATCGTTATCTAAATCGTTACTACTATATTCAACTCAACACTCTACTTAAAACTAACTCACAGATACTCTCACACTTCATATTCAGCTTCAATTCTTTTACACCACAACAACCTAAAATACAATAAACATGACATTTGATTTATTTACGTTAATATACTTCACATCCAACTATCATAATGACTATGTCACTATTAAGTCACATGAACACTTTGATAATTCTACGACTAATCATTCAACAATCGATTAATTCAACTGAACTCGCGACCACATTTCCTTCAACGAATATTTAACCTAATCCCGAGGGGATAACTCATTATGGTAATTGCATTCAAATGATA